TTGGTCGGAATAGCGGTTGTCATTGTGACGTAGATTGACGTCCAGTTTTGTCAATGTCTAGTACCCCGTTAATTCAAATGGCGGCCGTGACAGTCACCTGTATGGACCCTTGTACAAAGTTACCGCCCACTACACCCTCCTGTTGGTCCCGACTCAAGACTGGTTAAACGACGGGATTCCATCTAAATCGACCGTTACTTTTTGGAGATGTTTTCTGGTATGTGATGTTTTTGTCTTTCAATAACTGTACCACCTGTCGAATATATGTAAATATAACATATAACATAATACATACTCCCGCATACGGGGGTTTCCCTTCTAGACAAACTTGTAAAATTCATTTTACGAAGTAGACCACGTGAAACTCGTGTGTTAATGTCTCTGACTAGAATCCCCCATTTTGAGATTTGTGGGTAGACTTTTTCTAGCCAAAATTGTTAAATAAGTTAGTTTATGTTATACACTTGTAGTTTGTATTGATGGTGTATCGGTTATTGTTATATGTACATTGAATAAAATAAAAACACCAAGTAAGTATTAGAATAAAATGGTCAATTGTAAATTAAATGATACGTAAAAAAAAAAAAGAGAGGGTCAAATTTCTCGTTGAAGGTCCAATTTCTGTGGACACTTATTTACACATACTTTTACTACTTCGGTGACTAAAAGTTTTTTTATATTGTACTTTATATGTGATGTCAGCCTGTAGACCGGCAGCAAAAACATTCTTTACAAGTAGAAGGCGTATTTTTTTCGGAGGGCCGGGTGCACCCTTTGGAGGGGCGCCACTGGGCATTGTTTGCCCCCTTTTTGTGTCCCCCTCTTCGCCTGGCCAAACCATTGCATTAATTTATTGGGTACCTTAAGGTAACGATTCAAGAAAAAGCTGTGGCTTTCCTTCAAAAAAAAACTTTTTTTGTACTTTATTAAGGGGGGCTCGGGTATTTTATGGGCGTTGTGAAATTTTATTAAACATACTCGGACCGGAGACCGCAGGGGTTCCGTCTGTCCTTTTCGTCGGGGGTTCCCCTTAATCTTTCTTTAATTGGTTTCGGGGTAGCCTTTCTCTTTAAGGTCGAAGAAAACCACCGACCCCACCCTTTCCCTCTTTTGGTCACCTCTTGCCCCCGGTCGGAAATAGGAACCAACCCTCCAACGGCCGCCAAATCAAACTTTGTCTTTACAAATTCGGGATTTTGGCAGGTGTAGGTGGGTAACCAATTTTTCAATTTCGGATAGTATTATATCCGGGGATATTGATTTTTCAATCGTTAAGTATTAATAAATCATTGGGCCAATGAAACGGTCCTGTGACAAAAGCCTTTTATGACCTAGGGTAATTGTTCTTTGATTTTAGGCGTTCATAGGCGGCATAAGAGGCGCAAAAATGGATTCGGTTGGTGAGTCACGCGCACCTGACATAATAACGTTACTTACCGTTTAAATTGACCAAATAAATGCAGCAGACAATTTTATTTAACCACAATTACAATTTATTTTATTTCAACTATATTCTTCTTATGTAATTTTTTTCACTTTTCGTTTTTCCAATGAGGGTGCATAACGACTCGACTGAGGGTGCAATGCACCCTTATGCACCCCCGTAGAACCGGGCCTGCATATGACGCACACCTGCACACTTGCTAGCCTGTTCCACTCTTTGTTTTCCGAATGCCAGGAAGGATTCTTGCCTAGCTTCTGAAGCAAGTGACTCTGAAGACATGTGCTACCAAGCGAGAATCCTCGCGATTGAGAAACGGCCTCTGTCTGAAACCAGAGCAAAGTCTGCTCTGATTGGTTAGCAGGCTCTGAGATCTACTCGGAGATGTCCCGCCCCGCAGCAGAGCGACATTACCTAGAGATGACACTGTTATGGAAGTAAACACAGGTGTCCAATGGAGGCGTTTCAGGCAGGAGGAGTGTGTGGGAGAGTAACGTAGGAACTTCAGCCGTTGCAGACCATTTACTTGCACAAAAACCTATAATATTCCAAAATGGGGAATTTGGAAGAAAAGCATAATAGAGCCTATTCACATTTTTATATTTATATTTTCCCTTTCTTGTACGTATCTTTTTACCCATTTTCGACATATGCTAATTAAATAAACCAACAACCCTATGCCTCACTTTACAGGATAGAAAGAATAAATCTTTGGAGCCACAATGACATCAATATATAGTTGAGACTTGTCAGCAATTTCAACTCATGGTAATCACAACCTTACATGTCATCATTAACTTGAGCCTACCACTTTCATGTGTTTTTGTGAAGCAATACCAAGAATCTTAATCATCTATCACATTACAATTTCCAGTAAGCGCCAGGCAGCTGGGACTTCATTACCTGCTAGTCTAACGTGTCAGGACAAACATCATGAGGCTACTAGCATTTGCTTTTCCTGAAGCATGGCAGATGTAAACAGACGGAGTTAAGTGCTGAGCAACAACGCCTCGCTGAAGCACAGGTGAGCCCAGAGGCCTTGAAACTCTGATTTTATATAACTGACATGACATAAGCAGTGAACTCTCGTCAAGCTAACAGTGAAGTGAGAAATCTGACATGTCACGATGTGCGCTGGCAAATAACACACAGGGTGGCAACCGGATAAACACCAACATTTAAAAACACACCTAGCAGGAAATGGAAAGATAATATTTAGCTGCTTATAAAATGTGTTAACAGAAATGCTCATGTATTTATGCTAACATGTACACATCAGCGCTCCCTCTCTTTCTGGCACAAACACACAACCAGCCTGAGGGTTGTGCCACATAATGAAGCATATCATCAATACAGCTAATGTCCTGCTGGTTTAGACTATTTGAAACATTTTGTTTTTGTTTTTGCTTGCATTCAGAAGCGTTGATTATGTGGATCAAAATAGCAGAGTTATAGTTGAGGCTGTGTACGACATTTGAACTTGAGCATCCAGGCACCTTGTGACATTACGTAAGTAAACTGCATGACCCAGGCTCCAGCTGGTTTGCATCAGAGGGACATTGTTGAATTGTCATTTCTTGACAGTGGACTTAAACACCGTTTCATACTGGGGTCAAACTGTGTGCTTTGTGCGTAAATAATGAAAAACAAACATTATCTTTATCTATGCGTGTGCTTGAGATTCATTTTGACATACTCAAGTATTTGGTATTTATGCTAAAATATACTTTTTCCAGGGAAAATACTTTGCTTTAGGCAAACATTGATTTTACTGCTAAATGTTCTTGTTTATATTGACGGAAAACAATTCAGAAAACAAACAGTAAGCCCACATTAGGGAGTTAGCATTAGTTCCAGTTGTAATAAGAAAATGCTGCTCTGATGCTAATGCATTTTTCATAATAAACCGATGATGTAAATAATGTAGGGCAGCAGATTTTGGGGGTAATCTCCTGCAGGCCAAAAACTATTAGCAAAACTTCTACTAGTGTCATATTGTGACACAGAAAACTGCTATTATACCTGCTTTAAGCAAGTCATTTTGAAATGTATTTGTAAATAACTCATTTTACACTGTGCTATTGCTACTTCAACCTAAGGAAAGGAATCTACAAATATTATAACTGCACTAAAGCAGTGTTGTTAACCAATCTAATTCAATATATAAAATGTTCTTTATACAGCCAAATATCACAAATTACACATTAGTCTTAGGGGGCTTTACAGTGTCCTTAGACCCTCACATCAGAAAAACTCCCAAGAAAACCCCACAAATAAAGGGGAAGAAATAAAAGAAACATCTGGATGTGAAACCATGGAGGGATCCCTCTCTCAGGATGGACAGATGTGCAGTAGAAGTTACAAAACTTACAATACTGATAAGTTCAGAGATATTGGAGACTGTTTTCCATTGTTTTTTTAATAATGCTGTAATAGTACATAATGTACATAATAAATCAATTATGAATCCACTGCAGTGTGGAAATATTTCTCAACTGTATCACAGCAACGAAAACACTAGGGTGTCAAATGTCAAAACCGATCTATAAAACAGTCACTCGGCTCTCACTTTATTATCTCCCCGACATTTTTAGACTTTACACTGCATGTCCAGCCGAATGTGTTTCCTCAGCGGTCATTTCCTGTCAGTCTCTGTGTAAGTTGTGGGGGAGGCAGACTGCTGCAACCATGGGCTGAGAATTTTCAGCCCAAGACAACAAAAAGAACCTCCCACCACAAATCTGAAGCCTATCTGTGCTCAGGCATTTTCCATATTAACCTTTAACACATAACATGAGTCAGAGCCAACTGACACAGCCCTGATAACAAAGTCCTGACATCAGGATGAAGGCCTGTCACATATCACAGTCTCTTTCTCTGCACGACATGAGAAAAAGTATTTAAAGATGAGGTTACAGGATATGAACTACAGCACGCTACATGCAATTCCTAGTTGTGCACAGAAAAAAAAGGCTCTTAAGCTTCTCCCAGCTACACACCCTTTCATATTGCTCCATCTGCGGATTATCACAGGAGAACGGTATTTGGGCGAGACCTACGAAGTCGAAACCCCTGTCCAGAACAATAACTTCATGTTTTTGCACATGAAAACAAAACTAGGACACCCATACTCTTTCCCAAATCACCACATACTGTGATCTATCATTTCCCCTGTGGTTGGTACTTGTAGCAACAGGTTGCAAACAAGGTAGGCCTTGTCCCAGCCTTGGTTTAATACCTCACTACACAACTCAAACTAAACTCGCACAGGCCGACCAGCAGCCTCACATTCCAGCAGACAGAGAGAGAGACAGAGAGGGAGAGAGAGGGAGGGAAGGTCTGACTTGGATAAGAGCCAAGACAGTTTTCCTCCTCATGTGTGTTTCCCCTATAAGTTTTGTAGCTCAAACTCTACTTGAACAACAACATAAAGCAACACCATGTAGCATTTTACTTGCAGGCTGACTTACATCAACACAAAAACACACGTGGATATTTTGGGATTAGTTGTTTAGAATAACATGGCACTAACACACATAGACAACACAATTGCACACACCTGCTCCTCCACGGCCACATCCTGCAGGGCCTGGCCGTCCCGTGGGCCCCGGATCCAGGTCAATAACTGGCCCATGTTGGCTGAAAGTGCCTCCGAGCGTGTGTTTGTGTGTGAGCGTTATGTCTGTCAGCCTCTGCCTTGTCTCTCGGCTTGCAGCATGTTTCCAACTCACAGGGAGAGGGAGGGTGGAGAGAGCGGAGGGGAGGCGTGGTCTGGGAGCAGAGAGGGCAGAGGGGGGGGTTAGGCTCATATGTGGATATGTCACAAGAGGCCGTAACTCTCTGGGCTATAAAGGGAAGGGAGCTGACTGTGGACTGACACCCACCTGATGAGGGGCCACATCTGAGCTTCTCTAGGAAACAGATACAAGGGCACACATGCTTAAAAATACGCCCTGTTAGGTGTGCAACACTTTTTTTTGCAGTGTATTGGGACAATTTCAGTGCTGCTTATCAACAAGCACACCCAGATGTGTGATGGTATACATGCCTTGAGTACACACAGGCATAGAGACACTTTGTGTACACACTGGCTTCTTATGTACACGCAGTTATAAAGGATTTTGCAACCACCCTCCATGGCTGCCTAATTGCCTATGAGAATAAAGGGAGGGGCCAGACTTTAGTTTTATATTACATCTGTGTCAACTCTCTGCGGAGAGAAAACAAGTCTGAGCCGAGAACTTTCAACTCTTTCTCTGTCAGCTATCACCAACCCCTGAGGATAATAACAGGGATATACAGACATATATTGATAAAGCCCTGGATGTTTCAACATCTTGTCAACAGGTCAGAACTATGAACCGATAGGCACCGGGTGAGCCAATGATAGACTGTTATCTGTAGCAAATGGATGGGGATTTCTTTGTTTTATAACAGCCGGGTTGGCAGCAAAACAGATATTTGTCAAACCAGAATGTAGGGAGTGTTTAAAGAAAACATCACTAATGAATTCACTGAGGCCAAAGGCTTAAGGGTGTTGGCTTTCAGAACATTTATCTTTCACCTTTTATCACCAAGATGAATACTTTGGACTTTAATTGAACAACAATCTACAGAAGGGGGAATAAGGCAGTATCATCTGAAAACCTTATTCACAAGAAGAATATGTGGATAAGGTATATTCAGGTGTATCCATGGCCGTCGTTTTCATGTCATTTAAAGGAAAAGCAATTCAAGTGCAAAATGAAATTCCATTCATACCTCTGCGGCTTCTTCCTCCCGAATGACTTGGGTGTATTAGAGCGGCCCTTTGGGTGGGGTGTGCTGACAATGCAGTCGTTGAGTGAGTCACTGTGATGGAATAAGTCTGATCCTTTATTCACTTAAAGATGTTTAGTAGCACACCTCAGCAAAAAATGGAAATCATGTACTGCTGGTTAGTTTCCTCCCGCCAGACCTGACACTCCTGTTTGTGCAGCACACGTAAAAAAATGGTTATTGTATCTAAATGTCCAAGTGGAGTGGTGTGCTCTCCCTTTATGCATGCCTTACAGAAAGCTTTAAGGATGCTAAATATTATTCCTTGGAACCTCTACCATCCTTGTGCAATATGATAATGGGAGTAAATGGCAACAAACCAAACCCCTGTTGGTGTTCTTTGGAAAATAAAGATATGATAGGCTACACATAAATAATAAATAAATACTAGAATACATGGATTATTAAAAACAGTTGAAACACACAGGTCTATCTGTTGCTGCCTGGTACTTTAGAAATGTTGTGTATAATTAAACAAGTACTTGTAAGATATAAAAATGTTGTGCATGGATGTTACACACTGCTTTCCAGATGTTTTAATCTGAGAGGGATGTGAGGCAAAGACAATGTCCGAGATAAAAGTGACAGATGCATGCTGGTGTGAAAACACCTGGAGGAACGCTATAACAGTTTGTACTGACAAATGTATCCACCTATCAACACGGTCAAATGGCAGCAGTGGCAGTGGTTGAGACAAATCATTGGGTCAATAAAGTATGTTTTCCAAACTGCATATGTCGAGAGCTGCGAATAGACCTTGGTAAACATTGTTAACCCAGGCCCAGGGTTTCAAAACAATCCACTTCCACTAGCTCTGAGTTACATATTTGTTGTTATTGAACAAACCAAATTGGGAACCATTGTATATTTTTACCCTGTCCTACGCTGGCAATTTTTAGACCGGTTTAGTTGATTTTCAGAGAATAATAAGCCTGCTTATGTGAGTGTAGGTCCAATATGCAAGGATTGTGCCAGTAGGAAAGCTTTCTTAAGCGATGGCCAAGTGCAGTGAGAACATCTCTAGGATAGCTTTCCTTAGAACCCCTTGGCGCCTTTTGGCCACAGTCTCCTTCATAATCCACCTCAGAGTCATAGGTCAGTCCAACTTGAACCCATAAACATCACACACACATCTGTCTTTACAGTCAGTAATGTAGACATTCTCAGCTTTGATGGGCTATGCAATCGAGAATAAATATTTTTAAATCATCTCAGAAATCCTAGAAAACGTTTGATTTTTAATCAAACCAAACCCGTTTGTGTGTGTGATAACCGTCTGTACATCCAGGGGTTCATTGTATATGGGAACTCTTATCAGCTCTTTACATAAAAAATTTAAACAATTAAGTTGAAGCCCAGAGCAGACTCACTGAAACCATGGCAACACTCATGTATGTCTGCAAAGCAACTAAAAGTTAGAGCAGGTCATCCCAAAAATGATTTAAAACAAAGACTAATGTACAGTAGGAGTTACAGAATCCGTTCATATGCTCAAAGTGATACAAGAAACGTTAGTAGGGCTCAGAATGTCAAGTGGCCCGAACACTGACGCTTTCCTCTACCCATTCATTTCCCCTATTCTGAAACCTTGTGAAAAAGCAGGCAAAATAAGTTGTGTATGTTTTGTCTTAGGGGAGGCCCCCATTTATAGACTTCAAAAACCTTGTCTCACTCTGTACCATCTGATCAACGCACAGCAAAGGAATTAAGTCATACAAGTTTTCTTTGCATTGCCTATCTTTACCTAATGAATAGAAAAAGACAAACAAAGCATGTACAGCATATGATCCTGCAGTACATATTGCAAGGTGAGGTGTATACACATTTGAAAAGGCTCATGCTTGCACATGCGTGTACACATGCATACAAGGCATGTGCACATGCCTCCACATCATGGCACACCCTCTGTCAGACGGACACACCTTTCCCTATCTTAAGTACCACATTACCCAACCTGTAAAACTAGCTTGTGCACCTTGGGAAAGATATGTCTGCTAANAAACCTGAGAGAAGAAAATTAAATATGAATGGAAATGCCAGATGTTTCATAAACATGTATGGAGTGTCAGAGTGAGCATATGTAACTGGACTCCTCTGCTAATCTGGCCCTCTTCTATATATTTAGACCCATGTCGTACTACAGTCACTACGATCTTCACTACAGTTATACAGTTATGCTTTGTTATTATTATGCCTTAGTGCCATATTGGCCTAATTGTTTTGACTGCTATATTTTGTACAGCCATAATAATAACAAAGCATAACTGTATAACTGTAGTGAAGATCGTAGTGANACCCGTTTTGAAGATTTGATCCAGATTAAAGCTTGGATTGGATTTCCTGATCTGGTCGGATATCAAAGTGATCCTAATCCTGTTTTTTGGTTTTGAACTCCCCAAAATCCAAATCTGATCTGATCAGATAGGGATTAAAAGTTTTGAAATCCTGGGCAATTTTTAGCCTTCATGGGAAATACATTTTAATTTTTCCATTTTTGCTCACGTTTGTGGTGGCCTATTTGTTTTCAACCAAATTTTGATGACATAAATGTTTATGCTCATAAAAGTATCACAACAAAGATTGTCAATCAAAAATGTAATTTAGATTAAAGAAAAAATACCTTCAAAAAAAAAAAAAGTCCATCATTTGTCATCACCTTTCAAATAAAAAAATATAATTAGACATTATAGATGTCTCTGCAATGTGGTCTCTTGTCTTCCTTGTATTATTTTTCATGTCCACTAGATGGCGATCGGTAGGATTATAGCACTGATATTCAGGATCTAGTCATCTTGAAAAATCGTAATCTGGATCAGGCTGATCCTATCCTGAATTGCTTTGAACTCCAGGGACAAAATCTGGCTGACTTGTCTGATCCTGGATCACAAAAAATGGGATTTCAAAATCGGATCGGATCTGATTGAGATTAAAAGTTTTGAACTCCTGGGCCCAGGTGATGAAACTGAAACCAAACACGGATGTGAGGGGAAATGGGTCCCAGGAAATAGCACAAAACAGAATAATAATTAAAGAAAATTGCAATTACGTATTTCATTTGCAGGCAAGCAGTATTTTATTCATATTGTGTACTAAAATAAGAATATTATGCTGCTGCAACAAAAACTATTTCCCAAATTGGGATCAATAAAGTACCATCTTATCTTGTCTTATTATTGGATATAATGTATGAAAAAGCATACAAAAATATGTTGTCAATTTCATTTTAATTCCACAAATATTTGCATTAGACTTAGAACAAGTGGATTAAACCTGTGAAGTCAGACTGTAGTTTACAGAATCAAATTTACATAAAACATGTGGTTTATTTTAATTTTAGGCATCTAGTAGCTCACTCTTTATTTTATATTTTTTTATAATATCTAAGGTGAAGTAATAGGGATTCGTTAATGTTCACTTGTAAATTAGTAAACCTAATGTTATAAAAGAAGATCTCTAAAAAAGCTGTAAAGCGATAGGCATTTTCTGTGTGGAGAAGCAATACTGATGTGTAAAAGGATGAATGGTAGATGAATTGAAAACAAGTAGGAATGAGGGGAAAAATCCCAAATCCATTCAAATACAGAGAAAGTAAAAAACCCTAGTTGCTAAGAAAGACAACAAGCTTACTTTTACTGAAGCAAACATAATGTATTTTCTGTCTTTCATTCAAAAACACTATCTGCATTTAAGGTACATTGTATATTTATTGTAAAATGACTGTCCAAATATGTCCTGCTTTTATTTCATCAACCTAAATCCACCAGTGTTTGCTACCAGTTGTTTTTAATGTTGTTTTCATGACATCAGACGCTGTTCAAGCTGTTGACTGAACAGTGCACAATGGTCCACAAATAAATGTGTTGTGAGAGTGGATGTTATTTTCCCCCCTCTCAAACACAATGGAGGTTGTGTAGGTGGGGTTCATGCACACAGACTGTAGACATCAGACTCAAACAAACACAACAATAAGAGCCACGTATTCAAATAAACTCTCCAGTTTAATTCAGATGAACAATGTTTGTCTAAAAATACAATGAGCTTGTTAGTGACTGTGAGGTCAACTTGTCAGGACCGATAATGGCCGATACGTTCATTCACCTGGCCGTGTGCAAACAGGTCTGCACCAGATCTGCAGTATAATCCACGTTTACCTAGCAACAACTGTTTGCTTTACACTGAGGCACTCACTCCGTCACACAGAAACACACAGCTGATGAGCCACAGAAATATAAGCTAAGATGGACACCCTTTGTTGCAGGTGGGCATGGTTTCATTACAGAGGAGTGAATCTTTGACTTTCATTGATTCTCGGCTGCCTCTGTCTTTATCTCTGAGCTGTGAGGGTGTGTGTGTTTCCCTACAGCCTGATCATCCACTGTGAGGACAAACACACCGACGCACTAGAAACACACACACATTATTTCACTCAAATGAGGTCAGAGGTCTGAGCGGGGGCTAATTATCTTTCCAGAATGTGAAGGAAAGTCCTGGCTTTTAGCTGGAGGAGGATGACGCAGATGAAGCTGCCACCTCGACAGACGGTAACACAACCAAAACCAATTAAGTGTGGCAAATACATGTGAGGACCTCGACTGCACTTCCTGCTCATCTCAGAGCACTATAGGTTCAGTGACGATAACAGTGTTATAGCTTTTTCACAATTACTCGACGATACCCTGGTTTTGAGTGTATACTACATACAGTTTAACATATTCAAAGTTATTTATGCTGAAACAACTCATTATCAGACACACAACAGCAGTTGATTGGACTCCATGTCACCCGTCGACGCCGTGAAATCTGCTGCCTGATAGAGGGTGTCGTTTTTCTCAAACTGATATTCTGAACAATCTGTGCTGTTGTATTTGCTGTAAAGTGTCTCGACTGTAGGCTGTTTTTATTATATGTACAGCACTTTGGCTCGACTAAAAATCGTTTAAAAATGTGCTATATAAATAAAACTTGATTTAATTTGATTTACTTGTTAGACGCTTTTATCCAAAGCGACTTACATACTTAATGCTGTGGGCAATCTCCACAGGAGCAATTTGTGGTGAAGTGTCTTGCCCAAGGACACAACGACATGCTGACTGCAGTGGGGTTTGAACCTGTGATACCCTGATCCGAACACCAAGGCTCTATCCACTGCGCCACACGCCTCCAAACAAGAGTTACTGTCATATATGATGCAGTACACTGAGGTTCAATTACTTTGCCTGATTATCTCCTAATGGATGAACGGGTGTTTTCCAGCCTCTCATTAGATTGGATAACTTTCCTATTAAAGGCTAAACAGGACATTTATGGAGGCCCTTCCTTTTCTATTAACGATTTACATTCTTTCCTTTAATAATTATTAGGCAAGGCAAGGCAAGGCAAGGCAAGGCAAGGCAAGGCAAGGCAAGGCAAGGCAAGGCAAGGCAAGGCAAGGCAAGGCAAGGCAAGGCAAGGCAAGGCAAGGCAAGGCAAGGCAAGGCAAGGCAAGGCAAGGCAAGGCAAGGCAAGGCAAGGCAAGGCAAGGCAAGGCACGTTTATTTATATAGCAACTTTCAACACAGTGCATTACAAAAAAGGTGTACTTTTCTCTCTTTTTTGTTTAGTGTCAATGTAGATTTTGTGCATGTTTTTTTGCTGTGTTACATATTATATGAATGTAAAAGGCTGTATCTTATGGTGGTAAAAACATAAATGAACATATGGTGGGGAAGAAAAGGAGAACAGTAAATAGTAAAACAACAAAAGAAGCAAATAAAAATACATATATGGACATATACATACAATGGTAAGGAATACATCAATAATAGATATTACAAAAGCTGCTAAGAAGTAAGACAACAAATTGTTGAATCATTGATAAAGGACTATGTTTGTACCTGCTGTCAGGAGTGAAGAAGAAGAAGTGAAGTTAGTTAATATAGAGAAGAAGCAGAAGTCACATTGTTTGTTTAATAACTCCCTGTGTAAATGTTTCAGCTGTTGTACATATGATTAATGCTATAAACAGAACGAGCAAAGGGAGATATGTAATTCATTCATGTCCACAACGCTCGAGCAGTGTTACAAATGTCATCTGTTATCAGAAGCTGCTGTAAAGATGTCGTCCTGGTGTCAGTCCGATTGGCATCACTTTGCAGGTGATAGACTGTTCCTCTCTGGGGAGACGTGACAGGGTTCACAGAGTTATCAGGAGGTGGGAAGGTCAGATGGACTGTGTCTCTGAAGGGCATCAGAGTGATGAGTCAATGCTCAGACATACAAGACCTCACGTTCACCCACCACCGAAGACAGAGATAAAGGACAATGGACCCAGAGGAAGTGCACCAATCTGACAGGAAGTGTGCTGAATTTATTATTATGATTGTGTGTAATCAGTTGGCTCTCATATCCTGCCTTGATACAGAATCAATTTACATGTCAGTCAATTTGGTGTTGTTATTCTGAAGTCTGCTTTCCTTTTAGCAAACAACCATATGGTCTAAAATCTCATAGATATTGTTTCATAGAAAAAAAACTGCTCCAGTAAGAAACAGATGGGGATACATTTGTTGAAGTGTATCATGTCTGTCATACAATGGTCAAGATTAGTTAAATCACATATTTGTTTTACAGTTTCTAAAATGTGTGCAGAAATACTGAAACGCGACATAATAGAAAACTAAAACATTGGGAATGCGCCTTTTTGACCTGGTCACTATGCAGTAAGAGTTTATGACTTTGGAACAAGGTGAAGAAAAACTAAGTACACTGTAGTCCAAGAACCAACATTAGAAATCCCCCATATATATATTCATATTAATTGATGTACACAGAGAAAAAATAATGCTTGCTATAAAAAGAAGATCATAAAAAACGACGTCAGCCATGAGAAAGTAGTCCCATGATTTAATATCAGTTAATATAAATAGGTTTGGATTTTTTTTCAATATGGAGCTCGTTCCATTATTTTGGTGTTTACATTAGACGGTGTCCTGTTCCTCTTTATTGGGCCTGCTGTCACTTTGTTGGCCACCAGAGGGCAGTGTTGTTCTAAATAAAGGCTCCAGGTCTTTGAGAGGAAGAGGATAACATCAGCAGTGAGTCAACTGTTCCCCGGCCTGTGGGGTGTGTCCGTCATGCCCCAAAACAGTGTGTACGTATGGTTGTGTGTGTTCTTCCTGTGTTTCATGTTGGTTTAATATTGTTGCTTCACATGCATTGAATCACGCAGTAACTTCAGTTTGTAAAGCACTTCGATCGAACATCCTTCACATGATCACATCTGTATTTCAGTATTTCCCTCGTCTTGTCTGAACTAGTATCACCCAGTTCTGTGAACATCAAGTAGGCAAAAATACTTTACTTGCTGCAGCTCCATGTTTAATTTGCCTACATACAAACGCGAAACCATTTGCTGGTGTCAGCTTTCACTTCGATCAATCATCAGAGCCGAAAGCTTTCTCAGCAGGTGGGGCCACTGATTTTTGATCCAAGGGGTAGATCAGTGAATAGTCAGATTCCACAACAGTGCACAACAGAGGACGCAGAAGCACAATTAAACTCGTCTATCCACCCGTGTTTTCAAGATGCCACACAAGAGCAAGAAGAAAGGCCATGGTCACGATAAAGACCCCAAGGACGCGAAAGAAGTAAGTGTTCTCTTTTACTGCACGACGTATCAAGTTGAAAGTGTTTATGGATGCACATTCTTTCCAAAACACCCAAATAACTTCAGATAACTCCGCAATATTTTCCATGTGATTGCTGCAAGTAATTTGCAATTCACAAACGTCACATTTTCTGTGCTTTTTTATGGAGTGTGTGCGACATGAATCTGCTGCATCGATTAACCTGGTCTTGAAGTCAGCATCGATCAATCTGTTGGCAGTGTTTTAAAAATATATTGATGGTCGTGTTTTCGGTTGTTTGAATGCCCACATCGCCAAACAAAGATACAACTATGTCACAAAGATACAACTATGTTTCTACTTGTATGTGAGTGGTCATGGAAGTGAGGAAGGGGGAATTTATCTGCAGGTAGGGACTTGATTCTCTATTGTTATGCGGAAGAGCCAGGTCCTGCTGGAAAACAATGCTTTTGCGTTATTGTGAGTCAGGAGAGGGCTCCAGACAGCCCTGTGTGGTAATCATCAGATCAATGTGGGGAGTGGCTGTTTGAGGAGGCATGAACGGCAAGATCCTGCGGTGAGGAGAGCGGGGCAGAGCAGGGTGGAACAAACTTCTTTCAGAGTTTCTCCTCCTGATCCCTCATGGCGTACGCAGCATACTGGATGAGCCTTGTGAGTACATCTGCTACTTCTGTCTCTTTTTGACCCTCTGGCAATTTTCTCTAATCCATTGGCACCAAAAGAGCCGTGGCTGCTTTCTTTTTATTGTCGTAAACCAGCAAAACCTGTCTGCATTTGTATCTGCTGCTGAATGCGCGTTAAAACGTGTCATAGGCTGCACTAGATATCCCTCTGAATAGAAGTTAATCATATTGATTGCTTTGCCCATATTCTGTCACACACGCAGTGTTTATATACCAGGGTGTGTGTGTGACTGTTTAAACTGAGATAAGCTTCGACATGCATTTCTGTCACCGTTTAATTCATCTGTCATTCCTCAAGGCAAGGATCAGATCTAAATGTAATGCAGCATTCTTGCTACGCAACTAATTTCAATCTAATGCTGCACATGTTTTAAGACAAGACATTTATTTGAATGACATGCAGTTTTTATTGCTAACGATTCTACCAAATATATACATATTTTCTGTAAATGAGATGTATTTGGTAGCATTAGATTTACACTAAACATGTTGAAAAAGCATGAATAGCAACAATTTGACTTGATTTGCAATTTGACTGAACATGAAATACTTTTCATCTGATGTTATATGAATAAACTACCAACACAATAGTCTAAAGTCGTGGCATCCTGTGCAGAACATTGAATTTATTGGCGGCAGATCATTTGGCATGCACAACTACAATCTGGTGTTTATTTTGTGTGTTTTGTGTGTGTAGAAAGGAGAGGCTCCTGCCTCCCCACAGATCCATCATAGCAGCAGGTCTTCAAACTCCTATTCCACTGCAGAGTCCTACTATGGCAAGGTACTGACTCCCCTCCTCCTGCTGTAGAAGGATGAATCTCTCAAAATTCAATATAAAAGGGAACTATTACTCACTCAGTTATGTGACACAATGTTAATGTTACTTTTTCGTTTAATTCAAAATGGCTACTAAACAAACTTTCTTATTTCTATGGTTGAGGATTTCTTACCCAAAAATGGGACCACAGGTCAGAAAAGGAAGAACGTTGTTAAAAACGTGCTTTGTAGTGGATGAGTGCGTACCATTCGGAGGTGAATGCTCATTGCTGAATTGAACGCTGTAGGCTACATGTGAAGGAAGTATTGTGTTTGTCTCCCTCTGCTGAGTACAAATCCTGAGAAAGTTGCTTTTGCTGACAAGGGGGTGCAGTTAACCCACACTGTTAGCATTCCTGATCTTTTTTAAGCCTGGTCTCTGCTATCAAAATGTCTGTGAACATTGTTCGTTTAGTTGTTGCAATCATATGGAAACTATTGCATAACCCTTTATTTTTGGTGCACTTGGAACATTTTGCAATACTGTGACTCTTATTTGCTCTAAAAAACTCCTGAGCTGTTTTTTATCTTTATCAGTAAAAGTGTGTGTCTTTACAAGGAATACTTCTCCCTACTTTTTCACATATTATTTTCACACTTTCCCTGTGAGAGCCAACTTTCGTCTGACCTCTTCTAATGTCTTTGTGTTTTATGAGCAAATGGCTAAAGAGTTCCTAATCTTTCATACCTGTCTGTCTAGTGCAGAAACTATGTAATCTCTCTAGTAATCTGATAACAGTGGACGTACCGTGTGAGGGGGTGATGGGCAGTTTGTGTAGATGTCTGCACTGCTGTAGTGAAGATCGTAGTGACTGTAGTACGACATGGGTCTAAATATATAGAAGAGGGCCAGATTAGCAGAGGAGTCCAGTTACATATGCTCACTCTGACACTCCATACATGTTTATGAAACATCTGGCATTTCCATTCATATTTAATTTT